CGGTTTTAATTGCTCTAGTGGCTTTTATTTGGTAGTAAATTGACAAAAAAAAGTGAGTAATGAGAGAAGGGGAAGACTGAGAAGCGAACTCACAACAGCTGCATTGAAAACTAGAGCCTTCATTTGGGGGTTGTGCTTAACCCCTGCACCACCACAGCACACCCTGCTTTATACTGTTCTGTGTTAGATTAACACGTTCATAGTGTTAACTTTTGACAATATACACTAGTGTTGGGTATATTAACACTGAAGTGTGTTTGAGTTCAACTACTGTGAGTGTTTATTCAACTCTATCACAAATAACACTTTCAAAAGTGTAACTTCTACACTATCCAGAGTGGACCAATACAGACACTTTCAAAGTGTTGAATTTAACTCTGTAGGAGTTGATGGAACACTTCCAAATTTGCTGTGCAGTGGGTGCTCTGTTATGCACCAGAAGCTTCATTTCAGTGTCAAAAATGTAACCTGGATTCATTTTGAAGAAAAAACAAAATGTATTTTCCTAATCAAAAACCTTTTCTGATACAAACACCTTTAATTGTAAGTGATTTAGGATTTAGTCTTAACTTCTACAAAGAGTCTGGATTACATATCAATCAGGTTTATTTATACGGTGCATTTCAGCAGCAAAGCAATTTAAAGTGATTTACATCATAAACACAAAAATACAAAATCATCAAATTCAGCACGGATAGTGATCTGTTGTCCTATTGGCTGTTATCCCTGACTTGGCTCCATGTTTATCTGCTCTGTGCATTGATAGGCTATCGGTCTTTTCACTAATGTGTTAAATCACTGGTAAACGTAGCTGACTGTTAATTCAATCCAATTCAGTTTATTTATATAACGCCAGTTCACAAAAAATGTTGTCTAAAGGCACTTTACAAAAAAAAATTAAATAATTTCACGTTCCAATTAATTCAGCACAGTGATTAATTATTCAAATTAGTTTAAAAAGTTTATATCTAAGGAAACCCAGCAGATTGCATGACATGCAACATTCACTCCGTGGTAATAATCGCTTACGTTGTGTCAATGACTTTATTCTAAAAGTCTGCTACAGATTATTTAACATTTTAAATATGAAGTCACATTTTAAAATGTTCTATTATCAATTTTGTCACATAAAAAATGAATTCAATGTCTACAGTGTTTTTTATGTTAGGCTGCCTCCTGATGAACACCGAACAGTAAAGTAAACGTCAAACTCCGTTGTGTGCACAAATGTGCACACAACTGAGTAAAACTGATTCTAATTCAGGTGTCTGAATCTGTAGCAATCTGTACTTCTGTCCTGCTTTGTAACAGCGCCCCCTGGAGCCACAATATATGCCGCAGCAAGAGTTCTGATTAAAGTTTAAAAAAAAAGAGAGAGGAAAAAAGATATTTCTCCTATTTTAGCTTCCCTTCATTTGCTTCCTGTGAAATCCAGAACAGAAACTGAAGATTGTCCTCTCACATCTTCAAAACAGTCAAATTCCATCAGATGTTGTATAGTTCCAAACGTTTCTAACAGAGCGCTTTGCTCTCAGTGCTGGTCTACCGCTAGATCCTAGAGTTCCTGAGAGTAGAAAGGATTCAGATCCTTTATTAATTAAGATCAGAGGAGTTCTTCTGGGGTTTCTGTCTTCTCAGAACCTGAGTCGGTCGTTGCAGACGGCTGGTCACATTCAGCCAGGTTCTGGTTTTGCTGAAGATTCCTTCCTGTTAAAGGACATTTCTTTCTCTCACATGCTTGCTTAGTATGAGGGAAATCCAACGACAAAATGCAAATGACTACTGTCACAGGTCAATGAGTGCATCAGTCTGCTGGGTTTACTTAGATAGAAAACTGAAGCAATAGGAATAATAAACTGAATTTGACTGCATTGGTTTATAACAAGAGTCCCATGCAGCTTGCTTAGAATCTGTTAATATGGCTGAATCGACTGTCTTGTGCAACACTTGTCATGAATCGGAACAATTTAAATAAACCAAACTGAATATCTGCTGGTCCCAGAATCTGGTGTAACACCTGTCCTTCAACACCTGTCCTATCTGCCAGCAGCCACCACCAACGCTTTCTCCAGAACCAAGGTTGTCAGTTGACAGGAGGCCACCACAACACTGGCCCTGGATTTACCTTCAGGTCTCAAACAGTTTGGAGCGTTATCTTTACTATTGGAAGTTAAACGCCTACAAGTCAGCTGCAATCCACTGTGGATGGCAGCTGAATGGAGGGTGATTATCTCATGATTTGAATGTTTGGAGGTTTCCTGTGAATTTCATGTATCAGGAGATCACCAGTAAAATGATGATAATGGCAATAAATGCAAATTGTTATAATGGCTCCCAAAGTGCATGTTTATTCTGTCAAGCAAGTTTCAGTAAGTGTTAAAGAATAACCTGGGACTTCTGGGTTTCAGAGTTACAGCACGGACAGGGCAGGTCAGGGGCCCCACCTGCACGCGCTATTGTCCATCAGAGCTAATAACCCCCCGCCCCCGCCACCCACCGGGGCATGGGAGGGCCTCAGGGTTCCCACAATAAATCCAGTGGCTCGATAACGTGGTTAAAGAGCGCTCCGCTACATGCTACTTTCTAACGGCCGTAATTTAGATAAAGTCAGCAAACACACAAATGAGCGGCCTTGAAGACTTAAAAGAAGCTCTCAGCGGCCAATATTTGCGGCATATCGATCCGACCAGCCTCTCCTGGCGTCAGACTCCTGTCCAAAATAACTAGATAACTTCTCCCATCCGCCCTGGCAGCTGGCGCCACCTTCCTCCATGTTGATATGTGCCATGGATTAACACCGGTCTGCAGGTGCGTTCACTATGATGGCTGCTGAGTCTTCCCTACAAACAGCAAGGTTACATCGTATAAGTCCCTCTGTCATAGATCTATAATAATAATAATAATAATAATAATAATAATAATAATAATAATAATAATAATAATTTCATTTGTTCAGTTTAAACAAAAATTTCACATAATGAGAACAAATATTTGAATGAATCTATAAAATATCCATATATATATAACTAATATATCCCTTTCATGCATGAATTATGATCGTTTGTGTCAGGATTTTTCCCTTTTTTTATTTTTTTATTTTCTTAAGGCATAAAAAGGTAGGACATTTTGTTAAAAAAAAATATTTTTTAGGTGATCAATTGTAATTTTTTCCAAATACAAAGTGGTTATTTGAAAAATACGTCAGTAGTATTGTTCTTTAGGGGTTATCTGATGTCACAATATTTTATCTGCAAGAGTCCCCTGCAGTAGGACGAGGGACAGGGTCGGTTGGCATGCTTTTTTTTGTCTGTCAGCCATATTGTATATAACAAAAATTATTTTATTTGCAGCTGATGGCCAGAAGGTGATAGTGTATTTTATGATGCATTAGTGTCCACTTCAGTGGTCTGTGTGCATTTATAACATAAAAATCAACAAGAAGCTCAAGAAAATGGCCTTTAGTGACCACTATGCATGAAAGGGTTAAATATATCTAGCTATAGCTGCAAAAAATAAATACATTTTATAAAGAATAAGCAATTCGTAATTCTGGAAATTCTGAATCAGTTCAAAATGCTCAAAGATTTTAAAAGGTGTTTAATTTTTACGTCACTGTTGCACCTACTAGCGAGTATGCTATATGTCACATAACACGTCCACTCAGCCACTCAAGGCCCTCGACGACGGTATGCATTTTCAATAATTCTTTGATATCTTTTCATCTAAGGGAAAGCTAGCTAAGCTAACAAAATACTGGTAATTTAAATTACAGAATTTATGCACAAACCTACATTTGCTTAAGTATAAACTGATGGAACTTGATACAGGAATCACATGTACCTTTATCACTTTAATTTTGTCAGTTATAATTTAAACAGAATCTCTAGACTGCTTGAATAGACAAATTGGTTTCTAAATCGAATCATGAGCCTACAAATCGGAATCAAATCGAATCGCTAGAAACCAGAAGATTCTCATTTGTGGTCATAGCAGACAGCAGAGGCTCCATCTACATGCTGTGTCCTTTCAGGGAGTCACTACAGAGGTGATCAGGACCTTCAAACCCCAGATTCAGCTGGTGGACAGTCCACTGGAGAGGACCGAGCACCTGAAATATATATTACGTGTGTTCCATTGCATGCATTAATAGTGCAGTGCACGTTTCGAACAGGAGTAACATATCAAGCACACTACTGACCCCACCAACCTCCTTCACCTCAGTTCATATGAAACATGGACTCTGGTACTTGTTTATAATATGAAACATTACTCTCTCTTATTCTCCTCAGAATCTGTTCTGCACAGCTGGATCTAGAAGCCAGTCGGTGTGTGCAGCAGAACCAGGTTGTCGTCTTTGCTGCCAGGATGTCTGCAAGGCCAGGATGATGCATGACATCCATCTGAGGAAACATCCACCTATTGAATCTAATCATTCAACAGGATTCTTCATAAAATTGAGAACATTAATAACAACCCTGATCATCCTCTTCACACAACATAACCACCATGTCTTCAGTCAGAGGCTGCCTTAGAGCCATTGTAAAACAGACCACTACAGGAGATTCTTCCTGCTATCAGCATCTACAAGTCTAAACATAAAGCATGGTTACATTTATTTTCTCTCTGGACTAATAAAGTATTTTTGAACTGAACTGGTATTTCCCCACTGTTAAAGGTGGATGGATCACAACCAGGCAACAGCAAAATGGAGGCAAGATACTGGCATGAAGATGACCCAAAAGAATAAAAAAAAATAAATAAATCTTCTAATCTTTTAAAGCGCTCAATTTTAATGCAGAGCCATCACATCCATGGATGAAGAGCAGCAAAGCCTGTAAAGACATGGAGGAATGACGACATGTTTGGTTGCTGCTTCACAAACAAAACAGATCAAACTGACCTCAGGCCTGGTGAGCTGATAAAAACTTGACTGTCTGGTCACTAAATCCTAACATCAGAAATGTGGATGAAAGTATTGAGATGGGATTTTTTCAGTTTTTTATGCATCTGTGTAACAATTGTGCTCACATACTCAGATATTCCACCAGGAAACCTGGAAAGTCACTTTCACCGTCTTAAATATTCATGCCTGATCTTTCTAAACATTTCACATTGACAGAACTTTGTAGCTGTTCAATAATAAAAATCAATAATCATGAATATATCTTGTTTAGCGATAGTGCAATCAGGGTAGATTCTCCAGGACATACTTTAAACTAATATCTGATTCTGTGCCCATCGTTTTCTTCAATTTGCTCTTATTTTTTCTTTCATTACTTGTATGTCACATTGGATATTATGTTGCAGTTTAAAGCTGGATAACACACACACACGCAGAGGTTCAATTAGGAGAGAAACTGTCCATGTACAAATGGAAAGAAAGAATAATAATAAAAAACCAATCCTTGAACACAAAAAGGAGGAAACCTGAAGATAAGATAAGCTAATTCCAGGGTCCAGAATGAGAAGATGGTCAGGATTATCTTGAGGAAGGATGCTGGAGGTCTGAACCTGCAGACATTCAACCAGGACACACAAAAAAACAAGGCCCAGTGTGGACCTCCTGTGGAGACATTTATTACAGCAAGACAGTCCATAAACTTAATTTGAAACATGCTGTGAAATGAAAAGGTTCAATGAGGACAATGGTCCCTAAGGCTCCAAGTTTCTAATATTTGTAGAAACTGTCACCATGTCATGGCAACATGAGACAAAAAAAACACAACCCAAAAACCAATCAGAGTCAGGAGGGTCTTACTGCTCTCAATCACAATTTCATGTGGCACTGTGTGGCAGGTAAAGTCATTTCTCCACCATTAGTGTACTGATCAGTAAGTGCATGATATTCATTGATAGGGCCAAGACCTGCATCCTGGCGCTGATTGGTTGTTTTTGGTCAGGAACGGTGCATTTCTGCAGGTCAATAATGGCTCAGGGTGGAAGTGGAGATCCATCTTTCAGATTATCTCAAACTGTCACTCCATGGTGACAGTTTTAACAAATATGTAAAAAAAATTTTTTTTACATATTTACATAATTTATTAAATTTTTTCATAAAATTTAAACTGTACCTTCAACAAAAGCAATAATTATATTTAACCAACCATAAAGAGCAGAGACAGTCCAGTTCAGACTAGTCCACTGACCTCCAGGAGAACGATGATGGTTTTACCATCAGTCAGTTTTCTGCCACCAGTCACTAAACAAACCAAACAATCTCATATGTTTACAGCTGATCTTCTCTCTGGAGGACAAAGCAGGTAGAGGATGGCACCAAACAGCTCTTCCTTTAGCCCGCTGCCAAGTGTTAGGTAGCGTTCTGTGGGGATCTGGGAGAGTCCGTCCTCTGGTCCTCCTCTGGGCAGGGCTGCAGCGCCCCAACGACGCTCTGCAGTGTCCACTGCTCCTCATGCAACACGTGATCCTGCAGGGTGAACTGGCCCTGCTTCGTCCTGACCAACTCCTTCACATGAGCACACGACGACAGAGCTGCAGCACCAAAACACAGCAGCCATGTTACAAAACACCGATTTTAGCTCAGCTGCTTTCACCGAGATCATCTGGAGTGTTACCTTTCCCCAGGTCGTCCACCAGGCTTCTGACATAAAACCCTCCACCGCATTCAATATCTGTCACACAGTCAGAGTGTAAAGGGAAGAAATGAGAGTCATCATGCTGCACAGAACAACTCAGAGTGGATGGAGCAGTTTGAGCTAACCGAGAGTGAAGAGAGGAGGTTTGAACTCCTGCAGTGTCAGGCTGTGCACGGTGACAGGCCGTGCAGGTTTGGCCTCCACCTGGTGACCTTTCTTCAACAACACAGACAGACGCTGGCCGTCTTTCTTCAGGGCGGAGAAGCTAGCAAAACAACAAAACTTCACTGTCTTGAGAATTGTAGAATTAGGATAACATAAGCTTCATCTGGGAAATGCCCACCTGAGATTTCCATGGCATATACATTGTCTTGCAAAAAGAGCCACGAAATTATAATCACAAAGCCCATTTCACAGATCAAAACAAAGAAGTGCATTATTGGGGAAGAAAATGGACAAGTTTGAATGCATGGATGACAGTAAATGTGACTTTTTGTTACTTGTCATGTCAATTAGACTAACTTGACATCAGCAGACTGAGGCAGAAGTGAAGTAAGTGTGAAATACTGCCACCTGCAGGTAGGAGGAAGCAATCACTTAAACCCAATGTTTTTGATCATTATTGTGGAAAATTTGGAATAAGCATAATAAATAAATAACGCATTAGTGCAAAAACGTGGGCATGTGTTGATTTTGCATCAATTTCCATGTTTACAGAATCACAAAAAACTGGAGAGACTGATGTGATTTGGCAGTAAATGGATAAAAACTTTGATAAAAATAATATTTAAGTAAACAACTGTTGCCTTATACAGTTCATGTCTCTCTCTGGAGTCACTTCAATAGCCATGCGACTACCTTCACGTCTCACATGATTTAGTTCAGGGAGAAAGCTGGAGAAGTTCAAATCAGGGCTAGGTTCTAAAACCACATGAGTGATCCATGAAGTGGACATAGACAAGCAGCCACAGAGATTAACGCAGGACCCGATATTAAAATAAAACTGATTTAAAACAAAAAAATCTGATCAGTACAACAAAATACAATGAAAATAAAGAAAATGTATCACAGGCCACATACACACATTTTCTGGGACCGCTCCAAATTAAAAAACATTTTGGCAACGGTACCTAAAACAAAGAATGACGTTCTAATAAACCATGTGTCCTCCTATATTATGTTACTGCTTTAGCCCTGGGGAAATATTGATAAAGACGTTCAGCTCAAACATGTTTCATTTGACAGGTGGAACGAAGACTGTCCTGTATAGTTGGGAGGTTTGCTGGGTCATCATCATGCCTCAATATCTAAATGTTTTGGTTGCCCTATTGAGGCAAACTTTGTCTTGCCTTGTTGCCCATTGCCCCCCAGCTTGTTGTGTAGTTCAGATTATACACTTCTATCCTACTGCTGCCATTTTAATTTATTGTGTCAGTGACTCAAAATTTTGCAAAATTCTTCTTGTTATTAACATGGCATTTCCCCAAAACACCTGATTCTACAAGTGGACTTTAAAGGAGCTGATAAACACATCAGAAAGTTTTCAAGTTATTTGTAAAACATTTTCAAAACCACAGATTGTCCATCTGCTTCCAAATGAAGTAGATGGACATCTGACCCTAACCTGGAGTTGGTCCGCCACACTAAATCTCTCAAAGTCTGATTGTAACATGACCAAATGCTAAAAAGTTTAAAGGGTGTGATGACTTGTGAAGGTCCCAGCAGACCTATTTCTAGACAGAGCTTGTTACTGGGAGCAGCTGCAGTCCTTCTCCCAATCTGTAGGTTCCCAGCCCATGTCTGCTGATAATCGCCTGTTTAGTATTAGATCAGTAAATTTCTCCTCCTATATTAAAACTTTTCTGTTCAGATGGGGTTACTTACAGTGGAGGAACCTGCATAATGTCCCCAGTAAAAGCTTTTAACTTCTCCTCCATGTCCAGCCTGGTTATGTGCTCTAGAAGGAAAGAACAGAAAACGCTACTATAGCCCTGCAGAAACATGGAGGAACTCTGCTGCAAAGAAAAACATTTACCAAACACTTTCTCCATAATCACCGTTCCAGTGGCATCAAGAGTATCTGTTGCTTTTCCCAGTTCTCCCACAGCCATGTATTTCTTCAAAGATATAATTAGAATACACACAAACAAAATCTAACCTCGATTAGATTTTGACACGTTTTGACACGTTTTGCCTGGCTATCAGCAAAACGTGTCCCTTTATCCGTTAATGTGTGGCTGCTTTGAGCCCCATTTTCACATGCTGATTTACTAAACTCACCTTTGAACCAGTCAACATCGTGCTGAGCATTTTTGTCCCGTTCCCAATACCGACAACTGAAAGGAAAGAGTGAGGAATAGTTTTCTGCCTTTCAGGAAAAAAGGAAGCTCGTAAAATTAATGGTAAATGATTTCTTCTTTCATCAAATATAAACCAGCTTACTCATACTGGATTGAATTAAATTGGACTGAATGACTTATGACTCAGTCGGATTGTTTGCTATGCAAAAACCTATTTGAATTAAAGTGGAATGGAACTCTAAAGCTCAAATCTCCTGGCAGACAGTGAACGCCTCTTACCCAAGACTCCGCTGGCAGCGCTGTCCAGGGTCCCTCCGTGGCCTAACTTCAGATACTGCTTCTTCCTCTTTCTGCTGTTTGGGTACTGCACTCCCGCCTCTGGAAGAACAGAAGTAAAGCCTTTTAATGAGCAGTAGCCCTCCGTGTTGCTGTTGTTTGCGCAGTCTTACCTCTGAGCAACGTATCTTTGAACTTGTTTAACACATCAGCAGATGTCGGCCCTTGTTTCTTATATATGGCGAACAATCCATTTAAAGACTGAAGCTTAGACAGAGAACTTATTGGTCCCGCTGCGCCGCTCACATTCCCAGCCATGCTTGTTTTTTGTGAGATGTTCATCTTCTTCTTTTATGGAGAGCGAATTAATAGTGTTTTACTGCCCTCTGCTGTTTTGGGAGGTAAACAATCATATCTGGAAAATGACTACCAATCTTTGCAGTCTTTTAAATTCCAAAATAAGATATAACAAGTTCTGAAATTGGGCTGCACAGTGGCGCAGTTGGTAGAGCTGTTGCCTTGCAGCAAGAAGGTTCTGGGTTATATTCCCGGCCCCGGTCTTTCTGCATGGAATCTATATTTCTGCATGAAACAGCTAAATGGAAGTATGCTGATTCAAACTTAATTTGAATCTTAATTAGTATCATAATAATGAGACAATATCTATCATAGCTATCTCGTTTCATAATACTCGTCTGTTCTGATTATCATTAGGTCTGTTCAGTGGTCGACCTAGCCAGAAGAGGGCGGTAGAGCTACGTAAAGCTGTGTCTTGTCAACTGAAGCTAGCATAGAGGAAGCTAGCGCCAAGGCGTTTTTACAAAACTACACTGACCAAGATGCTTTGCGTCTTAGTTCATTTCCTGGTTACTCGCTGGCTTGTTTTCTGTTAGCTTCTGTGTCTGAAACAACTGCTTTCTGCTAGGTAGTTGTTTCCTGCTCTCAGAGGTTGGTTTTGCTTTTTGTTCTTACTATTAGTTTGTAGAGTAAACGCCATGTTTGTCTGGATATCGTCGCTGTTTCTGGGTTTCACTGTGTTAACGCGGTTAAGTTGTTGTGGTTCAGTTACAGCCAAAACTTCCAGTTGCATCAGTGTGGACCATTATAATGGTTGTCTTGTAGAATATGGTCAAATATGACGGTTGGGTTTTCAGAACCTTTAGACTTTGCAGCTGCTTTGTTCTAAGTGATTCTCCGGATGTTGTTTGTCATACCTTCAAGATAATTGCCAATAAATTTAATGGTACATAATTGCAAAGTGGGAAAAAAATGCTGCACAGGTTTCAACATTTTCACAAATGACAATCTGACAAATGTGTTTTGCATATTCACATAGTTAATATGACATTGCAATAGGCTTTATAGCTGCAGGTGTTTTCTGATTTGTGTCTACCAGCTTTGCAAAATTGCTCATAGTCAGTCAAGTTAGAAGGAGAACATCTGTGATACTTTGAGCGAAACGATAATCGTTTAAGGAGTTTGTCCTGCTGGGAAGTGAAACGCCATCTCAGTTTCAGGTCTTCTGTGGCCTGCAACAAGTTTTCTTCCAGGATTATCTTGGACTCAGCTCCATCCTTTTTCCCATCGATCCTGACCCTGTCAGGGCCAAAGAAACTCATCCCCACATCATAATGCTTCCAACCTTTACTGTGATAAAGTTATATAAAGGTGGACTTTATTTACTATATAGGTAATTTATGAGGATAATTGCACTTGATTTTATTTAGGGGTATTAGAGCAACATAGATTTCTGTGGCAAGTCAAATTTATTTGCATACCATATTTCAGTAATGGACAATTTTCTTAAATATCATCAAAATCATCAAATATCATTGTCATAAAATAGTAGATTGAAGACTGGAATTCATCTGTGAATTGAACACAGCTCTAAGCAAACAGATTTTAGTCTAGATTTGAAGGAACTCAGTGTTTCAGCTGTTTTGCAGTTTTCTGTAAGTTTGTTCCAGATTTGAGGAGCGTACAAACTGAATGCTGCTTCTCCATGTTTGGTTCTGGTTCTGGGGATACAGAGCAGACCAGAACCAGAACACCTGAGCGGTCTGGAAGGTTGATACTATGACGACAGGTCTATGTCAGTCGGTGACTTCTAAATTTTATTTCTTTTTTTGTCCCTCTTGAATGTTTCAGATAATCAAACTGGGTTTAAGATCAGACAAAGATAACCTGAATAAACACAAAAAGCAGCTCAAGCTCACTTTGATTATCCAGGACCATGAATCTGGAGGTCTTGGCAGAAGTGTGGCAGAATTCCAATAATTAAAGCGGAGTGGGCCAGAGTTCCTCCACAGTGATGTCTCAACTCCAGTCAGCATAGCTGCTTAGCATCAGCTGCTGCCTTCATATAAAAAATAAAAGATGGGGAAAAAACAACAACAAATCAGCCAACAGGTCCACTAATGTTTAAATTGCCACTGACCACACTCAGATGGTTGACCTCTAACCTTTATGGCAGTGAAACAGTGGATGACATTACGGCTTCATGAGGAGCCAGGAAAATGATAAATGATTACAATTTGAAAGCAACACTTAGAAACTATTTAACTTCATTGTGTCAGAAATGAATGAAGCAGCAGTTTGTTGATGAAAATATCTCATTTCCTGTCAGCTAATGCTCAGGTCCTGGCAGGCAGCAGGAAGAACGAACAGCTCTGTCCAGTATGGAAGACTTCAGGTGGACGTACTTGCAGCTGTGTAAGGAGGGTGGGGTGGAGCCCCAGGAGAGTGTTGTGGCTCAGCTCCAGGATAGCAGGGCTGCCCACAGCTCCAGGCTGGACCTGAGTGGACACAGCCTGTCCACCGACACCTGCAGCATCCTGGCCAGGGCCTTCCAGAAGGATGCCGTCTTCACAGAGGTCTCCCTGAGTGACTGCATGCTAACAGAAGAAGGTGTGTATGACTGTCAGCCATGTTGGCTTTATGATGCTATAAAACAGAGATGCTACACTCCAGTCCTCAAAACCCGGATGGGTCCCTGGTTATTCTGGATGTTTCTCTGGTCCAACACCATAATTAGCTGAATGGTTCGTTAGCAGGCCTCTGCAGGAGTTTGATCTGCGTCAAGATGAGTGAAAGAGAAGGTACCATGTACAAGTCAATAGTGGAAACCACTGGGATGTATTGTTTAGAAACTGGCATTAACAAAAAGCCATCAAGCTATCTTATTCACCTTTGAATAATAAATGTCTATATATGTAACAGTCTGCATTTTTGAATTGACTTTTAGGCACCAAGATGCTTTTGGCTGGACTGTTTCACAACATATCAGTGAAATGCCTGGATCTGAAGGTAACAGCTGTAAAATCTGACACACACGCTAAACACACAGGCAGAAACACTTTAAAATAAATAATTCATCTGAATACAGACTTTTTTTTTTATCGGTGAGTTTCTGAAAACTGTTTCCAGGGAAATAATCTGAGATCTACAGGAGCTGAGGTTCTGGGCAAGCTGCTGGGATGTAACAAGACACTGCACAGGTGAGTTTATCTGTCAAAAAAAAACTGAAAAATATTAACTTAGGGAACCTCTTTCTATCAATGTGGGAAAATATGGTGTTTAGTGATTTTTCACTAAAATGTTTACCAAGTGTAGTGAAAGCCAGCTTTCTGAAGTAATGGTGATTAGTAAAGCATCTGTCATGGATAAAAATCACAAAGCGATTCAATCAGTGACTCACAGAAAAGAGAAATCTACAAACATTTTCACTTCTTACAGACATTTCAGGAATTTGTAAAGACAAAAATGCTGACATTGCTGTTTTTGAACAATCTAATATTCCTTATTCATCTCTATAAGGAGGGAGAACATATTTGATACATTTCTCCTAATGTTTGCTTTGGAACAGGATGTTAATTATTCCCAATGCAATGGAAATAAAAGCCATTAGAATTTAGAGACATATTGTCTTTAAACACACTGTCATTTTCATCTGTCTATCTAAAATGGTGCTGTCAGTAAAACTATAACAGCGGTTTTACTTGTTTTAGCCAGTACAAAATGTAGTGATGTAACAGCAAATTTGAACAAAATTATGTCTTTTGGAGAATCTTGTGACAGCACTGTTTTGTAGGGTTTCCATAAATATGAAATCCCTGCAGCCTGAGGAGGGAAGCACACTGGAGCCATTTATAATATGATAATAGTGACCCAGTGTGAACACTGTTCTCAGGCTGGTGTTGGAGTGGAATGCTCTGGGTGTGTGGGAAGAGTCCTTCTCGCTGTTCTGTGATGGGTTGGCGTCTAACAACACTTTGACACACCTGGACCTGCGCAACAATCAGATCAACCACCACGGAGCCTCGGAGCTGGCGCTGGCCCTCAGACGCAACAGCACCCTGCAGGAGCTAGGTGAAGTGGAACTGCCCAAATCAGTCCTGACCAACCGCAGAGCAACAGACATGTTGGCGCATCTTTGATTGTCTCAGGAGTCCCTAATGTGTTGTGTTTGTTTTTGTTGTAGTTCTCCTGATGTAGTGGAGATGTTGGTTTAAACCAAACATCTTTGCTGTGTGACTAATGATAGTTCACTCTTCCTTTTCCAGACCTCAGGTGGAACAACATCGGTCTGCTGGGTGGGAGGTCACTGCTGGAGGCCCTGCAGAAGAACAAGAGTGTAATTCAGCTTGAGATGGCAGGAAACAACATTCCCAGTGACATTCTCAAAGCTCTGGGTAAGACTGTCACATATCTCCTCCTGTAAGTGTGATTTCCACTAAATATAGCAAAAACAATAAAAATCATCCAAAAATACTATGAGTGAAATCACCAGATTGACATGCATATTTTGTTTTTAATATGCTACACTTGCAGTGTTACCAAAATAATTTTAGTATTGACAGGAATAATAGTGAATAGCAGTCTTTTTTGCTATGACTGGGCAGCTCAATATGTAACACAGTTGGAGGTTCTGGAGAGACTCCTACTGGCCCACCTGAGTGAGAAAAGAAACCCCTATTGGTGGAGTTGGAGTCATATACCTGCTTCAACAAACTCTCTGTCATCTGTGTGGCTCATTTTGTGAACTTTCTGGTCCCTTCTAGAGCAGAGCACAGGACACAACTCTGAAAGAGAGTTCACGTTGAGAGAAAGCCGCAACAAGACCCATGTCCTCAGCAGAGAGATCCAATCACTGAAGGAAGAAAAGGGTCGCCAGGTAAACTGTCAGTTTGGCACATTCTGTCTGGAGTAAGTAGACAGAGAATCTTCTCTCTATCTTATCTACTGTATCTTATTTCAAATGAGTGTTTTGTGTATACCTTATGATGACCATGACTCTGGTTGTCCTCACTGTCCTCCAGTTCCTCAGCCTGATGGAGACCATAGACAGGCAGAGGGAGGA